TCGCATTAGTGCGTTCATTGTTCATTCATCAGAAGTTCGTTCAAACAGTCAAAGAGTCATCAGTTATGAGCCTATACATTATTTGCATTTATTTGCTGCGGCTGGGCAGCAAACAAATCAGCCAATCAGCCGTTGTGTGTTTGTGGGTGTTTGTGATACTGGTGGTTGTGTGTGTGTGATTCTTTGTATTTGTCTTTCGTTGTTTGTGCGCTTGTGGTTGGTGGTTTTGTGTTGGTCTATCTGTCCGTCCGGTCGTTTGTTTGATTGTTTGCTTGTTCAGTTTGTTGGGTTGGTTGGTTGGCTGGCTGGCTGGTTGGCTGGTTGGCTGGTTGGCTGTTTGTGCGTGCGTGTGCGTGTGCGTGTGCTTGCGCTTGCGCGTGTGCGTGTGCGTGTGAGTGTGCGTGTGGGTGTGTGTGTGTGTGTGATTCTTTGTATTTGTCTTTCGTTGTTTGTGCGCTTGTGGTTGGTGGTTTTGTGTTGGTCTATCTGTCCGTCCGGTCGTTTGTTTGATTGTTTGCTTGTTCAGTTTGTTGGGTTGGTTGGTTGGCTGGCTGGCTGGTTGGCTGGTTGGCTGGTTGGCTGTTTGTGCGTGCGTGTGCGTGTGCGTGTGCTTGCGCTTGCGCGTGTGCGTGTGCGTGTGAGTGTGCGTGTGGGTGTGTGTGTGTGTGTGATTCTTTGTATTTGTCTTTCGTTGTTTGTGCGCTTGTGGTTGGTGGTTTTGTGTTGGTCTATCTGTCCGTCCGGTCGTTTGTTTGATTGTTTGCTTGTTCAGTTTGTTGGGTTGGTTGGTTGGCTGGCTGGCTGGTTGGCTGGTTGGCTGGTTGGCTGTTTGTGCGTGCGTGTGCGTGTGCTTGCGCGTGTGCGTGTGCGTGTGAGTGTGCGTGGGTGTGTGCGTGGGTGTGTGTGTGTGTGTCTGTGCGTGGGTGTGGGTGGGGTTATGGGTGTGGGTGTGTGTGTGTGTGATCGTGTGTTCGTGTGTTTGTGTTTTTCTGTGTTTGTTTGTTTGTTTGTTTGTTTGTTTGTTTGTTTGTATATATTTTGTGTGCACGTGTGCGGGCCATTTGCGGTTGACGTGTATAATGCGCTTAATGTGCTGAATGTGCGTGACGTGTATGATGCGCTTAATGGTTGTGCTGAATGTGCGTGACGTGTGTCATTTGTTTTTGCACATTGGTGGGCGGGGTTCTTTTCCCACAACATGGACCAAAGATCACTTGCTGGGTGTCATGCCAATCTGCATCCAATCAATTTGATCCTTGAATCATAAGCCCCAACAGTGATTGCAGTTGGGCCGGGTGCTTTCCTCACAACCGCAGATCAGGTTACCCTCAATTGGTGGTTTGGAAGCTGAGATCTGGTTGGGCAAGGTTCTTGTCGAGCCAAAAAGAGAAAACTCCCTAGCCGCCGAGCCAATCCAAATAGAGGGAAGCTGATCTGATCGATCTGGTTGGGCAAGGTTCTTGTTGAGCCAAAAAGAACGCAGCGGTAAACAATTGATGGATCTGGTTGGGCAAGCCCATTTCTGGTTGCGCGTAGGCAAGAAGTTCAAGACGCGGTCCGGGGACGTGGTGCGGCTCCGGGATTTGTTGGACGAGGCCGCCGGCCGGTCCGAGGCGGAGCTGCGGAAGCGGGCGCAGAATGCGGGGGTTGAGATGGATGAGCAGCGGGAGGACGGGAGGGGATGTTGTCTCGAAAATCGGATGAACCCCTGATTAAAAAAAACAAACATAATTATGCATTTGTTTGATTAAAGAAGCAGCAATGATTTTGATCCCCTTTGCATGTGCCGTAAATGGGGTGATCTTTTTGAATAGCAACACCAGGTCCCCATGATGTCCCCATGTTTCTGGGCGGTCTTGCGGTGGCCGTGGCCATTGGTAACCTGGGGAGTCCTATCTGAGAGCCCTGACCTAGAGTGAAGGATGGAGAGCTGCCAGTTGGCAGCTAGGCAGTAATGCCTGATGGGCAGATGGCAAGAGACTTGCGACCCAAATGCAAAGCAATGCCAGCCAGCAAAAGCATGGTCCAAGATTTGAGGTGAGGGATGGCACTTTTCGAGGGTTGAAGTGGACCAGGATCAAGCAACACAAAGGGGGCGATGAGCCCTGCAGCCAAACAAATCAAGCATAAAGCCAAAAACCCCAGACGCGGAACCCACAGCGTTGGGCTGCGGCTTGTCGAATTCCAGGAGCAACTGCGGAGGGACGCGGACAGAATCGGCGTGGCAGCTGTGAAGTACTTTGATTTGAGGCAGAACCGAAACTCGGACTACAGGCCACCAGTTTGCAAAGAGTTCCATCGTTTGTGTGTGTGGGTCTGGCCAGTGGGATGGATCAACGGGTCTCACGGCATGGCATGTGGAAGCGAAAGGCATTCAAGATTCCAGTGAGTCTTTACGTGTTTGCCCCCCCCCCCTCCCCCCCCGTGTGCGCAAAACAGCAAGGTTTTCCTACGACCAGATGCTGGACCCGAAGGGTAACACTGCTGTATATGTCCTCTATGCCTATGCGCGCATTGCTGGCGTGCTGAGACGAGCCGAGTGCGATGTGTCCTCCCTAAGTGCGTCCGACTTAAGCCTCACGGAGCCCGCAGAGCCTTTGGCTGCAAGCTGAGGACAGTTGCAGAAATCACCAGGCGCAGTTCGAACGAAGCTGGCCGGAGCTGCCGAGCGTACTGAGTTGCTGGGCTGTTTCTGCCAAGTGCAGGGGTCCTTGCATCGATTCCCCTGCTTGTCGCACCTGGGCTCATGGGCCTAGGAACGGGCGCTTGCGCTTCGACTGCTGCGCCTGCCTGATGTGCTGGCGCAAGTGGAGGAGGACTTGCTGCCCAGTCGCCTCATAGCAGCTTGGCCCACTTTGCCGCCTTTTGGAGCTGTTTGCTGACGTTGGGCCTTCGCAATTGGATCAGAGTTGCCGGCAGCAGTTCGTGCGCTGGCAATGTGGGACGCCTTGGGTCACATGGGTATGGGTCAAAATGAAACCAACATTTTAGTCCTTTGTTCCTTGTACCAGGGCCCCATTTTGGGTACCTATTTTTTTACCCACACCCACATGTTGGCCTTGCGGTTGGGCGCCGAGGATCATATCTACGGCTTGGCCACGGACTTCACCGCCTTCTACACCGACTGTGTGGTGGTTGGCTCGGACCAGCAGAACAGCAGGCTGATTCTCCTGGAGGCGGGGAAGCGACAGCGGTCCAGTTTGGGTGACGCGGGCCAAGGAATTGGCTTTATGGATTTGGGGGCAGCATACCCCCTACTCCAAATACCCACTTTTTCTAGGGTATTTTTCGAAAAAAAAAAATGGGTTTCCCTGGTAAATACCTCCTTTTTAGTAGAAGGTCGACATCATGCCCTATAAAAAGTGGGCATGGGGAGGGGGTATTCCCATGGCAGCATTGTCAGGTGGTGCGCAGGCAGCTGGCCTTGTGCCTGGGCTTTTTGAGGATCCAGCCCTTCGACCAACTCTAGGGATGGAAGAGGCAGGGGCATTCGAGATTGCAATACGCAGAGCCCGCTCACGTTGGGAACATGGCTGCATATGCACATGTTCTTCCACCTGAGGTGGCTCCTGCAACTGGATGGGCTTCCTGAAATTTGGAGAAGCAGCGCTAGCCGAATGCTCGCTGCTTTGCGTGATTGTGTGTGTGTGTGTGTGTCAACGTAGTGCCGATCGCTTCTCGTTCTTCATTGGGAGCAGTTTCAAGCTGCAATTCATTTTTGTGGTCGGTTTGGGTCGCTCATTTCTTGTTTTCAACCGACCGGTTACTTTTTCAACTGCCCTGTTGACTTTGTGTTGTTTACCGATTTTCGACCAAGTTTTCAGCGCTTAGCTTGCCGAGCTATGGCCGACGCCATGTCAGCGCGGAAGAAAGCAAAAAGGCCGCGCGGGGGGCTTGCTTGTTCGCCTCACAGCCAAGTGCTGCATGTTGGAACAATGTGGCTGTGGGTCAAAACCAATAGTACCATTTTGGGGTAGGTGCACCCAGTTTAGTCAATTTAGTGGGGATTGGGATGTTCACCGGGGGGTACGGGCTTTTGACCCATGGCCATGCTTGTTTGGGGGCCCTTGCTCGCCATCCCCCGCCCACACAACCGAGCTTTGGCATGTCTCGTGACAACTGGGCGCTTGAGACAACAACCCCACACCACGCTTTAGTTTCACTCAAGGAAGCATAGTTTTGGCCACACATGTATTTCTTGCTCAGTTGTTCAACATGTTAGTTTCTGTGTCCACCACTTCTTGCTTGTCCGTGGTGAGTATTCATTGTGCCCCGCAATGGCATCGCACGAATTCGCAACGTAAACCCCTGGTGTTCTTGCGGTAGCTTGGTGACAGTGCGCCCTGTCGTCCCTTTGAACAGGAGTTTTATGCCAATAAAACCTGATCCAGAAAGAAAACCATGCATCAGCTAAATAAGTGTTCAAACTAAGAACGGGCAATGCGAGACGAACGGAAAATCTGAGTGGCTCATATTTTCCCGCTCTTATGTGGCGCTCTCTGAGACTGGATGGTTCAGCTAGTCATTCCATTTCTCATTCCACGGAACCCGCCGGGTCCATTACCATGACCCCAAAATCATGGGTAATGACCCCATTTTTGAAGGCTCATGGAGACTCCAGGTAGTCCAGAAAGGAAACCATCAGCTGGACGGTTCGGTTGGTCATTCCCACTTCCGCCGAGAGGCCGATCGCATGTGACAAGTCGGAAAAGTCGGGAAAAGTTGGTCGTTCCACTTCTCATTCCAAGGGCTCAGCGGAGTTTTGTGTTTTTGCTGTTGGTTTATTACAGGGTTGTGGGATCAAGGGGTTTCTCCCCACTTCTGTGATACAAGGGAATCCCCCTTCATATGAACAAAATAGTCGTTGGGAAGCCCTTTCTGTTGTATCACAGAAGTGGATTCCATTCCCCACAGCCCTGGTTTAATACCTAGGGTCCAGAAAGGAAACCAGCTGGATGGTTCAGTGGGTCACTTCTCATTCGGCCCGCGCCTTCCCCGAGGTTGCCCCTGCGGCTGCTGCTGCGGGAGCTTCGGCTCAATGAGCTGGGCCTGCAGGATGGCAGCGCGGGGGCGCCCGGTGAGCCCGAAATGGCCATGGGTCAAAACCCATGGGATCCCATTTTGGGGTAGGTGCACCACCCATTTTTGAACCTATTTTGATGGAAATTGGGATGTTGACTGGGGGTACCGGGTTTTGACCCATGGCCAAATGATAGCTTTTCCTTAAGGAAAGAAGCACGATGGGGGCACCATGAAACAGGATGTGATGAAAAGCGTGTCTTGAGGGTACCCTTTTTGAGTTGGTTTCAAGGGGGACTAAGAGGAACACCGCCATGTTGGGGGCTGCACTATGTTTAGACAACCTTCTTAGGGCTGTTTGCGATGGGTCGCCCGTCCACTAGATTGGCATGGCCAGCTTTGACATGATAGGCATCTCTGATCATCTCTGGACAGAAAGTCCGGAAATGTCATTGTTGACTGTCCTGCAACACTGCCTTGATGGAGATCCTCCACTGGATGCGCGTCCTCTTCTCGAAGGCCTTTCATGTTTGAATATTATCCTTGTGGGCCCGGTTTGGTTTGGGGGCCATTCTCTTGGCTTCCATTTGCTTCAGAACACTTTTGTATTTTTGATTTTAACTCTTCTTGGTTTTAAAGAGAATCAATCTATCACTACTGGAAATATGTTATGTATACATTTCCTTGGCTTCCATCTGAGAATCTATCACTCGCCTGGTGTGGTCTGGGGCTGCGAATGGCTCCCGCTGCACAAGGCCCAGCTGTTGAGCCACGCCCTGGCGTGGCTCCGCCTGGCCCGGCGGGACAGGCACAAGGGCAGGGCTGAGAAACGGAGGGTTTGACGTGTTTTTCTTGTTTTACAAGAACAACAAACTCCATAATATGGTTTGGTTAATGGTGCTACCCAGCCAGAACTGATTTGTTCTAGTTGTTTGAGAAGTGGATATGTTTAGAACGTATTGATCAACGCACACGAAGCACACATCCATCGATTCTGCGGGTAGCAGCCCTCTCACACGTTTCTTGTGCGAAAAGCCGTCGAGTTCCACATGCCCTGCGGGTTCCTTGTCCAACGCACCGTGAGCCATTCGGCCTTGGCTTACCCTCCGGCCAGGGCAGATGTGGAGGTGCTGGAGCTGGAGGGGACCATGGCTCAGCTTGGGGTTGGGTGGGGGGGGGGCTTGATTTCGGGTGGGTGAGCTGCACGGCACTCAAAGAGTGCAACCAGCAAACACAGAATCCGCAGAATGTTTGAGGAATCACCTCACGCATGAGGGTGCCGGGCGCCAAGTGAAGAGTGTGTGTGTGTGTGGCATTCCAGCCCAGAGGAGAGGAGCGGAAGTTGCCCAGGACCTAGGAGGTTTGCAACCCTGGCAAACGCAAACTGAATTCAACAAGGGTGAGGTAGGATGCTGCTCATTGCTGTTGACATGACCCTGGCTTAGAACGTCGATAGGATGAGCGCAGCCGATGTAGCCCACTCTTGAACGCACCTTATCGGGTTGTTGGTTTGACGTTGCTTGAAGTTTAGGTTTCAGTACGCTTCGTAAGGGCCATCTGATATTCTGAAGCTTACGAAATTGATCCATCTCCGCCCATTGGACGTGAGGTTATCGCTTTAGCAGATCTGCTGGAGAACTCTCCACTGCGTCGCCTTTCGCTGTGCCGCTGGCTTGCTCATGTGTTTGGCGGTCGTCTATGGTTGTGAAGTCCGGCTACCAGGCACTGAATCTGACAATGGAGGGGAGCTCCCTGGTTGGAAGCTACTCCCAAGGTCGAAACATGCTCAGCTCTGCATAAGCAGTGTTCGTTTGCGCTGGGGTATTTAGACGGCAATCTGGCGACAGGCGCGACAGGCCTTCTCCCCTACCCCTCGCTAGGCGGCAGTTGGTACCGCCAACAGGTGCGTCCTTCATCTCTATTCTTCTGCATTTGCACGCTCAACAAGAATACGGCGCAAGACAAGATTTGGTACCTCTGAAACAGTCACCAGCCGGTGAGTGGCCCCCGGTCAACGGGTCCGTTCAGTTGGGGCCCTGCAATGGAACCGACCAGACCCTAGGGGTGAATTCGGTTTTTTGTGGCCATGAGTTTTTACTGTGGTGTTTAGGTTGCTTTTCTCTGAGACCTGCTGACCATGTCCAAGTGTGCGTTCGTGCCAGGTCCCGGAACAAGTTGCGGCCGCTGGGTTGGGCCTCAGTGTGACAAATGTCATACCCGAGCAACTGGGACCAGTCAACGTCACTAGATTACATCAACGGCCCCACGATTGCCTGAAGGTGCGAGCAGTTGGCGACTGGCAAGAGCCGTTTGGCCATTGACCATTTGTGCCATTGGCCGCATCTGATTCCGTCACTGTAACGACTGGCTCAAGTTGTTTCACATGGGAAACAGGAGGGCTTTCGGAAGCACGATAAAAGGTCAGCACCCAGAACATTCAAGGGATACGCGGTTTCAGAAGCATATGAGTCCCTAGCAAATCTCAGAGGTTTCCCATAGGGCCCTTTGTTAGCGGAGCTCCCCGGTATGGTGTGCTACAGTCCTTCGGTGAGGCCCGGGGGTGGGCCACTCTAAGCCCAGAGCCTTCTGCAATTCCATGACGCCTGCGACCATGCTCAACAAGGGTGCATCCAGTGAGCGGTGGGTTTCGGAGGTTAAGGGAAAAGCGTTTGTTCTCCGCTGCCTGGCAGGGACGCGTGAACAGCATGACGGAGAGCAGCTCGTGCTGCAGGGAGACGGCTGGCATGTCAATGCTCCCTTCGGCGTATGCTGACGTAGCTGCACAACTCTTGGATGTTTAGCCTTTTAGCTCAGCATCATTCATGTTTCCATACCCGGTTATGAACCAGGCTGAGCTCGGAGACTCGAAATGGGTGCTGAACTAAGGCTTCGCAGACGAGGAGCACGGAGAGGACAAGCAGGAGGGTTGCACGTCACGCAAGCGGTTGGCTCTCGCGGGCATGACCTTTTGGTGGGTCTGTCTTCAGATTGGCGAACCCCAAAAAGAGAATAGCAGGAGGGTTGCCAAGTTGCATGTCACACATGACCTTTTGGTGGGTCTGTCCTAAAATCGTCGAACAAAAAGGGAATAACCTCAAGGGTAGCCTCGACAAGACGAGCCACGAACAGCCAAAGGCCCTCCAGCTCCGGGGCCGGGGGATTGCCTTGAGGCGACGGTGCAGTGGGCATGGCGCTCGAGCTTCGGATGCAACGGGAGGGCTGTGAGCCTTTCATGGAGCCAGATTCCTTACATGATATTCCCAGCCAATCTGGCCATGCCAGCATGGAACTGAAACAGCAGTCAAGCACGTTGCAGGTTTGCAACTTCCCCTTGCCGCTGGAGGAAGCCGCTTTAAGAAGTCAAGCATGCAAACTGCATCAAACTGCCACAGTGGTGTGCCAATTGCTTAGGCCCACCATTCGTCTAAACATGGTCAAATTGCCAGCTCATGCCGTTGCCTTCTACGCCTTGGTTGCCCCTGCCCGGATGCCCCAAAGAGGTGTACCATTTTGTCAACCCTCTTGGTTGTCGACACGAATTTGGCTTCCATTTGCTTAAGAACATTTGTTATTTTCCCCAAATGGTTTTAAAGGCAACCTAAGACAGCTGGACTTTTTTCCCAGGGGGCTCAAGTAAATGGAAGTTGACAAGGTTTGCCAACTCCCGGGCAAAACCCAGGATGCACGTCCGGAGCCGCAAGCCCTTCAAGCCGCCCCCACGCGAACAAAGCGCCCCGGCTGACTGTGGCAGACTTCTCGCCTTGGGAGGGCGAGGGTGTACACTTCCAGTCCTTTTCAATAGACCTGGTGGCTTAGCTGAGAGCTTGGACCCCGCCCCCTCCACCCATGTTTGACAGGAGGCAGGGTCGTTTGTTTGGCATATCATCATCCACTGTTGGTGAGCAAGGCCGGGTCCAAGGCTTAGCTCTGGACATGCTAAAAAGTAGATGGGAGCATCAGAAGGCGTGTAGAGGCGCGCCAATGCTGGCAGGCCATGCCATAACTCTTCAAATGTAGGTAACTGCCCTTCTATGCTGGTTGCTTTCTGGACGCGTTTGCAGTGCGAGAAAGTCGGAGCTAGCTAGCCAACAAGTCCGCAGGTGCCACACACCAACCTGACGCCGAAGCCGCAGGCCGAGGACGGATTGGCACGGTCCGCGTTGCTTTTGCCTGGGGCTGCCACCCAAAAAGCGGCTTGTGTGTTGTGTGGCTTCATCTCTTTGCGGCGAAATGCAGCAGGGCACCTCCAAGCGGCCCGGCCTCATTTTCCCGTGCAACCGGGTGACTGAGGCCCGCTTTGGCTGTTTGAAAGTCTCAAAGAAAGCCTCTCAGGAGACGACGACTCGCACAGCTCAGGCGCTGGGAAGTTGGCGGGGACCTCGATATCACAGATCGCTGGCCGCGGCGCAGGCACCAAAGACGCAGAGTCCACGGCAGGCGCGCGACCAACTGGCCTGCACCACATTCTGCCAGTTACATGTCGCAGTTTGCGTCGCAGTTGGTCTGACATTCCATCATGTTTGCCGTTGGCACCGGCTTCCAGTAGGAATTGTTGGATACATGTTATGTGTTTGATGCGTTTCCTGGTGGGTGAGCCGGCGCAAGCGTGAGGGCCGGGGCAGGACAAACTATTGGAAATGCATGAATTGCAGGCGCTAGCGAGGTGTCATCCCAAAGCGCCGCAACTGGCGCGGGGTCCCAGCCAAATCGCGAGAAAGCCTTGGGACATGCTCTGTACCCCAAGTGGGGCAAAGGGTTCCGCCCTCCCGTACGGTAGGAATTGTCTTGCAGGTAGTCCTGTCTTCAAGGTTCAGGACATTGCAGAGTTGGAACTGTTCAGTTGTGCTTTGCTTCTGCCCTCGTGTTTCACCTGTCCTTTTCGGACCCTTCGCTTCTGTTCGGAGGGAATCTTTGAGCTCGCTCCGCAGGCCGCAGCACCCCACGGCGCCAAAAGCGATGGGCGGGTGCCAGCGACCGCGCGAAGCCCAGGCGCGGCGGGGCGTGCGATGCAGCCCCCTTGTGGGCCCCGACTGTGAGGAGATTTCAGCAGGTTTCTCAGGACCCTGCCACATGCAATGAAGCGTTCTTTTGAAATGTTTGAAACCTTCCAAATGGCGCGTTCCGAAAATTGGGCAGGAGAGAGGGGAATGCAATCACTCTAGATGTGAGTTGTACTGGCCGCGAAGTTGTGTGAATCTCGAATCAAACGAGGGAAACTTGATCATGACTAACAGGCAACAACTAAACGAATCACCAACACAAAAGGAGTACACCTTCGTTTAACGCCACGTTCATGTTCGCTACAGGTGATGCTGTGTTGTGTGTTGTTTGTAGGTTGTAGTTTGTTGGATGTTTGGTTGTTTGTTCTTGTCCTTCTTCTTGTTATTGTTTTTGTCTTGTTCCTTTATTCCTTTCTTTCTTTCGTTCTTTCCGTCTTTGGTGGTTGTGGTGGTGGGACGGGCACCTGCCAGACAAGTTCCCCAGCCACGACAGGAGGACACGCCAATTGGAGCTGCCAGAGGTCTGCTGTTGACTGTGCCTGCTTTGGTTTGTTGATTCGCAGCAATTTTCGCTCTGGAGCGGGGGCCCTTTTCGGAGCCATGCTGGGCATCAAGTACGATGTCTTCAGGAAGGCCAGGAGGGAAGCTGCTAAAATGGACCATAGGTTCAATGCAAGGTTAGATCTGAGTCTGGGCGTTGCTCATTCAGATGTGCTTCCTCAGGCAGAGTCGGCTGAGTCCAGTTCTCCTCAAGAGTCCATAGCCGTATGCCATAGCCGGGTCCATTACTCACTTTGCCGGTTGCCGACGCATGTCCAACATGGAAGGCATGCATTGGGGTATCAACACGGGACAATGTGAAACATTGTAGCTGCAACTCTGTTTCGAAGGTGAACCAATGTAACAAATTCAAGCCTCGGATCGCGACTGAGCAAGCGGGCATATTGTATGCTTGGTGGACATGATGTGTCCACGAGGGCGCTTTGGCAGGCGCAAAGCTTCCCCCTGCTGCGCCACTGGTATCGGCGCGCCTGCCGATTCGACGAGCGCACCGGGCTGCTGACTGCCGGGCTCCCACTGACCGTGTCGCTCTTCGCTGCCATCACGGTAACGACGCGTCTTGGTCGCTGAGGGAAGCCTTGCCAGCCGTGATTTGGGGCCTTTCAATGGAAACCTGGGTCCATCCAAGAGCCACACAACTGGGGAGCGGGGTAAGACCAGAATGATGGTGACTTGCAAGAAAGCCATGGGTGAAAAGCCCGTACCCCCAGTGAACATCCCAATCTAAAATAGTCTAAAATGGGTGGTACACCTACCCCAAAATGTACCATTGGTTTTGACTCACGGCCAGAAGTGCGGGAGCTCCACACTCGTGTGGCACATATGAGTGTCAGATCATCGCCTTGTGCCGAAAGGGTGCACCCATACTCTTGAGGAAGATCAGCAAAGGATCAAAGGATGCAAGCATAGAGAGGGTGCATGCAAGTGACTGCGTCCATTAGTCAGAAGCAGGTTGTATGTTGCAGTTTGGCGTGCAGAAACTGACTGATACACTGCGTGTCTGTGTGTGTGGGTGTGTGTGCGGGTGTGGGTGTGCTAGCGAGAGAGGTGCTGCTGCTTGGCAAAGCTGCACCTGGCTGTTCAAGCAAGTTCTGATAAAAGATATGCTACATCACCTAAATTTGTTCAGCCAAGGATAATCCTGGATCGGCAGTATGAGCTTAGAGCGGCCTGGCTGCACTAGGTCACTAGGTGGGGCGCGCTGGTCTGGGCTGTAGCCCGCGTTAGTCACAGTAGGCCACCAGACTGCATGAGTGCTTGAGCCCGTGTTCGAGCCATCTTCAGGCTAAACTGCACGCTGAATTTATCGCAACCGGGGATTTCATAGGCGCTTTTCTTTGTGGGTCTTCTCATGCGCTTTTTCAGCACGTGGCGATTTAAGGACATGCGGGCACGATCCATCAGCCTCAGAGAGGCCAGTTTGGAGGAGGAGCACAGGGCCATGCGAGAGTTCCTGAAAGGCACGGAGGATGAGTACGAGATGAAGAAGACGCCCGACCCATCGGAAGGCTTTGGCATGTGTCAAAATAGGGGCTTGCTTCAAACGGTTGGCCGTAAACCTTTCGTTGTGCAACATGGTTCTCATGTCTAGTCATGATGCAGAGTTTTATGTTCATGGGCTGTGGCTGGGGTCGAGTTTGACGACATGCTTTGATCTTGTGCTGCGGACGCTCTCCCGGTGGGACGGCTCAAGCGTGGTTTAACCTGTGTGACCTTTTCTTGCGTATTCTTAGAGGTTTTTTGCGTTGGTTGTTTGGTCCTGGCTACGTGTCACATTGTGAATCTGGGCGTGGCACTTTGAACCCATGTGAAGCTGCCTTGTGGTGCGGATGTGCCATTCACACCGCATGTGGACGGAATGTCCCGACCTTTCGCATGAACCGGCATGGTGTCGCAAGTTGGTCTCTGAAGTTGTTCCACTGACCGCTCAGCTGCTCAGCTGAGGATTCCTGACACTTACCGGATTGGTCGATGAGCTTCTTGCAGCTTACTACCGGCGCTAGTACAGCCACGCAGCTGTGGAGATTTTGTGAAGCGGATGTTTCACCCAAAGCTCTGAGATTGCAAGTGCAAACTCCAAAGGTGAAAAGTTGAAGGCCAGCGAGTGCGTAAGACGAGTTGCCAACTGTTTGCAAAGTCCTTCCCTGGCAAGTAGAGGAAAGCGTAGTAACAGGTCGATTCAATGTCACTTGTTGAATCGCGAAAGTGCGGTCTATAGGAATATGCTACGTAATCGTTTGAAAGATCAGCGTCCGTGCATGACAGTCCCTGCATGACGGAGGCAGCATTTTTTGTGGGCGGTTTTCGGGGGGGTTCGATACCATCCTGGCTTCTTCCCGAGCCGTTCCGCTACATGTGTTTCCCGGTCCGACAATGCGTCTTGGCCACTGGGAGGCTACTTGACTGCTACTAGGTTGGATCTTTAGACTTTAACTTTTTGGGAAATCAAGAAGTTTTCCACTAAACCCCCAAAAAGTTTAACTTTTTGCGGGGTCAACAGCAACCAAGGCTAAGATGGAATGTCGAGACTGCCCATGTCCAGAGGAACCTCCCAATATTTGCCAACAAGTCTTTGTCTTCCAAGATGCCAAGTGCTTCGCAGAATCAGAATCTTGTTGGCATCCGAGTCTGCTAGAATTCGCCTTTTGAACCCTCTAAAGGAAAAGTGGCCCCTTCCAAAACCTGTAGCAGCCTGCCTCTGAAAGCGCATTTTCCTGAATCGGAGTGGCACCGGCTGTCACAGGATCAAAGAGCTTCGCCAGCAAAAGGAGCAGGCGGGAGGTTGCTGAGTGCTACCTGAATGGTTTCATGTCCCAAACTTGGAAGTTCGCCATAGCACAACGTCACGATTGTGACGATTGGGCATGGGTCCTTTTGTTTTTTGGGAGCTATGAGCCGATCGAGCTTGGGTTTCGGGAGGGTACAGGATGCGCCTCACGTGGGGTGTGGCCCACAACTTAGAACTTTAGAATTTCCTACGAACGTGGAGTGACATGCCATGGCCATCCCCTGCCCAAAGGGGGGGAGGATTGGGCGGCATCGCAATTGGCCGGAACTCGTGCAAAAGGTGCGGAATTTGAGGATTTTTGCATTTTAGCAATCACTTTTGGAGTGGAACACCCCCCATGACTAAATTGGGGTTGGTTAATATGGCTGTGGGTCAAAACCAGTAACCATTTTGGGGTAGGTGAATTCACCGCCCATTTTAGAACCTATTTTAGTGGGGCTTGGGATACGGGATTTTGACCCATGGCCATATTTGGGGTCAGCATTGGCAGTTTCATGCTGAAACGAGGTCGGATTCCATCACGTCAGGCCAACGGCCAGCAGAGGCACAGCTTTGGCGAGGACTGAGGGTTTTGCTGAGAAAGGCCACGGCCCAGGTCGACAAGGAGGCTGACTAGGTCTGGGGTGTCTTTTTCGGAAGGTACCCCCTTCTTGTTGGTTTCAAGGATGAACCCAAAGGGATCACCACCGTTTTTTGGAGTTCCCTAAAAGAAGACACTTCCATGCTTCCATCTCAAGTTTGTAATGGTTGTGGCCCAGGATGGGGTGCCAGCCTGGCCCCAGCCTTGGACAGGCATTGACTTGCTTGCTTGCTTGCTTGCTTGCTTGCTTGCTTGCTTGCTTGCTTGCTTGCTTGCTTGCTTGCTTGCTTGCTTGCTTGCTTGCTTGCTTGCTTGCTTGCTTGCTTGCTTGCTTGCTTGCTTGCTTGCTTGCTTGCTTGCTTGCTTGCTTGCTTGCTTGCTTGCTTGCTTGCTTGCTTGCTTGCTTGCTTGCTTGCTTGCTTGCTTGCTTGCTTGCTTGCTTGCTTGCTTGCTTGCTTGCTTGCTTGCTTGCTTGCTTGCTTGCTTGCTTGCTTGCTTGCTTGCTTGCTTGCTTGCTTGCTTGCTTGCTTGCTTGCTTGCTTGCTTGCTTGCTTGCTTTTCTTTGAACAACGGGTTGTTTTGTTTTTCGTTTGATTGTTTTGGCTGTCTTGTTTGGTTGCTTGGTTGGTTGGTTGCTTGCTTGGTTGGTTGGTTGGTTTGTTGGTTGTCTTGTTTGGTTGCTTGGTTGGTTGGCTGGTTGGTTGGATGGTTGGTTTGATGGATTGATGGTTGGTTGGTTTGCTTGCTCCTTCGGCCGCGAGTGGCAGCATAGAGTGCGTCCTAAGTCTGGCGCCAAATTCTGTCCGAGCTACGGACGCGGCATGGGAGTTGTCAAAGAGAGTCGGCCCCTTTTTTGGACCCTCAGCCTTCTAAAGAGGTACCAAGGATCCCTAGTTTTGACAGCCGCCTTAATGAACCTGAGGCCCTTTCCGTTGAATTCCTCCAGGGTCCCGGGAGAGGCCTCTAGGTGCTGGGAGACGCGTTTTTTCCAAAGGCAGCGGCTGCACGACGAGCACCGGCAGAAGACGGCAAGGAAGGCGCGAGGAGAAGCCCGTGGATCACAGATGAGACTTTGACGTTGCCCTCTTGTCGATCAAGGAAAAGCTAAGCGCCCATGCCATCAGAACTGGTCCGGTTTTCCCATACCACATCTCTATGTGCTCCGAAACAGTGGCCACCCTGCAAGTAGTCCCGTCGCTTTGAAAGTTGTGACGGCGCTTGCTTGTGTAAAGCTCGCGCTATTTTGGGAGGTCCCAGTTCTGCTTCAGTGCTGCCCCCCGAGAGGTGGAACGCGAAGAGGAGCATCGCCGAGCTTGTGAGGAAGAGGCCAGGGCGGAGACTTGCACCCAGACTGCTCGTGAGGATGTTCCCGGAAGCCCCACCAAGGGAGTCCTCAAGTTTTAATTCATTGCGGATCCACGAGCTGTACTACGGTTATTTTCCCGTGGTTCTGATCTGGTTCGCGAGAAACGCACGGCATCTGCTTTAGGATGGTAGGGCACGCCTGGGCCCTGTGTCCGGTGTGCTGAATGGGGTGCAGGCCAGGATGCTCTTGCAGGAGATCATGTGGCTTGGTGATGAGCTTTCGCATACAGCTTTCTGAGGATGGCCCTGAAAGGATGCCAAAACAGCTGAGTTGTGAGGGAGGGAAGCGTGAGTTCAGATCTGCAGATCCCTTCGAAGGCCATGGCTTTGGTGTGACCTTAGCCCCTTCGACCTGTAAACAAATGTCTGTTCCACTAAACCTCCCAGAGCTAGACCCTTTGGCCCACCCAGCCATCCCAGTAGCTTTTAGCCAAATAGTGTTTAGTGGTAGTTTCCATTTAACCCACTAAAGTTCAGCTTTTAGCGGGGGATCTGAAAACGGGCAGCCCAGTTGTGATTAATTCGCATTGGGTGCATACGTGCCAAGTCCGCACGAGCGGCTGCCGCAAGACAAGATCGACGAGATCACGCGACGGCTGTACACGGAGCGACTGGAGCACCCCGGAGTCAATGAGCGCCCAAAGCCACCGCTGGCCCAGGTGCTTCTACTACATGATGCTACATTGGCTTCATCAGGGTGATAGTAAGGCCTACATAAACCTTCATGACCATGTTGGTAGAACCAAAAGTCCATGGGTTTTGGGCTTTGCTCGATGAAAGGCAATAATGTTATGGCAGCCAACGTTGAAATTAACTTCCAATCGGAGCTGCGGAAGTCTAACGAGTGAAAGTGCGTGGCGATAAAGATGGCCGTTCGGGGAGAACGGTATTTCAATCGGACCCCGCCATGTGGGTGTTCCTCTTGACATTAGTTGAAAAGAGGGGCACCTCGTTTGGACAAGTATACCCTGAAAGCTCTTCTTTTGTGTATGGCACAAGGAAGATGACCTTGAAGAAGGAGAAGGCGGCAAAGGAGAATGACAGGTCCTTGGCCCAGCGCCTTCGTCATGCACAGCGCCATAGGGGCTGGGTGTGGCTTGTTGTGGCGGGTTTCCCTCTAACGATGGCGAACCACCGGGCTCAGATGAATGAATGTTGTGCACTCATGACCCTGGACTGCGGACGCCCTGTTTTCCAACTGACCCATGTCAGCCCCAGCTTTCTGGGCTCGATTCAAGGGCTGGGTGGAAACTGCCAGATGAAGAGACTCAGTCAGTTGTGTCCATGACCATCAGGATGTTGGCGCAGAAGACGGAGAGCACCAGCAACGTGTTCAGGGGCGTGGCACTGTACGTGCCTGGGCGCATGGCGTGCTGCCTTGTTAAAGGCGGACAGGAATAAATTCCCCAGCCCACTGGGAGCCAATGCATATATCGCGGTTGACTAGGCTCTTTGGGGGGCCGAGGGTCAACCACACACGGACATGACCGGGACGAGCTGATGTGTGAGAGATGATGTCAACTCTTTTCGCTCCCCGATGCGGTGCTCAGCCGCAAGTAGCTTGTCAAAACGCGGCTGCAATTTCAGGAAGTCACGCAAAGGCAGCAGTTGAGTATGGTTTTCCTTCACGCCAGCACGCCCAAAGCCAGATGTGCGACTGGAGCTGGTGAGCATGCGCCCAATGGGAGCGATGTAGGCAATTACGTCCACTCCACTTCTGACGGCCATGGCTCTCCCCAAACTCCGGGTACTTCTTGGTAAGGAGTGTTGTTGCGCAGAAAATATTGAACGCAGATTTAGCTTGGTGTACACGCTGTGCACCGGCAGTACAGGCACTGTACAGTATATTACATCAGAATACTAATCTTGTGCTGGCTCTCTCCTGGCCCGTACCTATATAATCGGGTTCCAGGAACTTGGAAGCTTCATTGGCTTTGAGATTGATTGATTGATTGATTGATTGATTGATTGATTGATTGATTGATTGATTGATTGATTGATGGATTGGATTGGATTGGATTGGATTGGATTGGATTGGATTGGATTGATTGGATTGGATTGATTGATTGATTGATTGATTGGTTGGTTGGTTGGTTGATTGGATTGGATTGGATTGGATTGGATTGGATTGGATTGGATTGGATTGGATTGGATTGGATTGGATTGGATTGGATTGGATTGGATTGATTGATTGATTGATTGATTGATTGATTGAGGCGTGAGTGCCTAAGGAAAAACCCTCAGCTTCCTTGGCACCTGCCCTTTTGCTCCGCCTGAAAAACGCTGAGGAGAGCTTTATGAAGCGGATGGCGTGCAGAGCCGAAGCGCAGACGAGGCGACCCCCAGGGCCCGTGCAGTATTGCTGGCCCAAGCAAGGGAAAGGCCGCAGATTGAATACGAGCCCCTCCAAAAATCAGACCCCCAGTCAAGTTGAAGGCGAGTCTTTGGAGAACCCCGACCCCCACCCTTTCCTTGCCGCAAAAGAACAAGAAGCACAGGAGACTGATATTGTGCATGTAAACAACCAGGGTTGCAAAATGATAAAACACATGTTCCCCCGGTGTGCTGGGGAGCCTGAGGTGTAACACTGAGCGTTGAGTGAGCATGCAACAAGACCAATGATATGATTCTGTTGCGCTCCGGAGTCTGAGTTGCTGCACCAGCGCGATGGAAGGCTCACTCTGTCTCAGAATAGGCCCACGGCAGCCAACCATAGTGACCTTGCCTTGTAGCCAGTCTCCCGTAGTTTTCGCAGCTGATCCCACGCGTTCACGAGGTCCGTGCCTGAGACGCCTGAGACGCCGAAGCCGCTCGGCAGACGGCGCCGGAGGGCAACTCAATACATGTCCCATCCGTTTTCCAACTCAGTGGCCCAGGCGATCGAGGGTCAGAATGCGCACTTTGCATGAATGAATGAAATACAGCCTGTCAACAAACATGCTACCAGATGGCAAACACCTAGATGACAAAACCTAAACCAACTCTAGTCCAGTTGCACGGCCTCCCCCTTTTTCTCACGCAACAGCTCAGTTCCTCGTGTTTCGTAGGCCTCACCCCTACCTCACCCCTTACCCCCGGACCCACCCGTGAGGCGAGCGGCGAGCCTGGGCCACGCGGGGAAGATGCACCGCTGGGCGGCGGAGAAGGCGCAGCGCCTGGTGCGCCAGCGCGAGGAGCAGTTGGCGCAGCTGGAGGCGGCCGTCCGTCGGGACGGAATCGGAATCGACGCGTGGCATTGGTGCAATCGGATGGTGGGTGGAGATAGGAAGTACTACCCACCAAGGACACCAGCTGTGGACTGTGGAAAGGTCTCAGAAGACGTGGAGCGGCCTTTATCTTCGCAAGGCCTTTCGGAATTTGAGGCATTATATAAGTAGGTAACTGTGAACAATTCCCCCAAGGTACCCCACTTTACATCCATGGGTGTCATCTACTTAGGTCGGCTGTACATCCAGACCAAGCCACTGGAGCCCAGTCTTCTTGGAAAGCCTTAGGTAAAGCCTCCGTTTGAGGAGAAACCAAGTTGGTAATCGGGTGGATTTTGGATGCATCCTTCAGGAAACCCTGTTTAGCCATGAAAGGCAAAGCCACTGGCTAAGCTCCAATAGAAAAGCATTTATAGATTAGAGGTAGCTCGCATGGGTTCATAGAATAAAGGTGTCATTCTCGATTTGGCCCCTGCGCAGTTTTCCGGCTGGTGGGTGGGGTTTAGAGGGGGGAACCCGAGGCAGCTTCCCACACATGGACGCCGAAAGGAAGCAAACCTCACGCTTTCCAACTCTTCTTCCACCCATCCTTTCATTCCTCCTTGCCCAAGGACGCCAAACATCCAACGATTGTTTCAAGATCAAACCTGATTAGAAGGATATTGTGATTATGGTTATTATGGTTCGGTCTTACGATCCTGACTGTGAGCATGTTATGGGAGAAGGCAGCGAATGGATTCCATCAACAGGCGCAGCTGAAGCAAGACTCCGTCCACCAAGGCGGAGGCCCGGGGCTCAACGCGCCAGAACTGCACCCGGTGCGAGCGAAATCCCATGATGGAGGTCCAGTACTTGGAGATCCCTTTTTTCAGGTGTTGGAACTGTGGTGCAAATCACGAATTGGTTCCCTTGTCTGGTGTTGGCTTTCTGGCTCAAACCATTGGTCACAGTCGCTGAGGCTTTCCGGACTGTTTGGGCAAGTGAGGCTAGGCTCTTGTCCCTGCCTTGTTAATTGACCCCAAAGCACTTCCCTGTTCTGAAGTTCTTGAGTCACGATTAATGTTCTTCTTGTTCGGGTGCTATTTTGGGTGCCTCGTGCTGACGACCTGCCCTCCAAAAATGGATGAACCATGGCGGTGCCAAAACATTTGCCAGGGTTCATTATTGAAATGCCAAACTGTCGTCGGTTTTTTGAGTGCTATTTTGTCGCTGCCTGACCTGGCTGCCAATGGCTTTAGACGCCTGCTGCTTCTACGGTTTGGTTTGAGTCAACCGCCGACACAAATTCGCCAGGAATCCAAATTGCCCACCATGCTTGGCATGCAAATGCGCGCATGCTCTATTCTTGCATGCCTGCTGAAAAGATGCCTTGGCCAAACACAGATACTCAGACCCTAGAGACTCAGACAACCTCGAATCCCGCATTTGGCCCTAGACAGGCATGTGTCTGCCTGGATCTGCTGCGCTCCCCATCCCCCAGTCACAACACATTCGCCGCTCCAGGCCCGCGCTCACCGCCCAGTTGCTGTTTGCAGTTCAGTGGCTGTGAATTTGAATAGCTGACGCATCGTTTGGGCTGGGGTTTATGTCCACCAACCACTGTTGAAGGATTCCCCACTTTCGTAGCCAAGTGGTGGAAGTTTGAAAAAGAAAAGCAATTTGAGGCAAGACCACCCGCCACGAGCAGCTTTACCAAGACCACGCTCAGCGGGTGAAGCGCCTTGAGGCTTGCGGATCGATCGCTGCATCGGGTGGACAGGCCGCAATGGGGGTTGCCCCAAATGAATTCGTGTTTTCAAAAATACATGTCTTTCAAGTTTGTTCAAAGGAGATTAACAGGAACCTCGGGGCTCCCAATTGTTTCATGGAAAGGTCAAATCATGTGGTTGCTCGGGGGTTGTGGAGCTCGTCCACAGTTCGACCATGTCACATGCATTCACATTGAGCGTTATCTAAGGAGGTCCCAAATTTCGGACCCCTCCTGCCCCCCCACCCCCGACCCTCCCCAACCCCCCACCCCACTCCCCCCCCCACTCCAATCCAGCAAAGGGTCGGCATCAGCAACTCAAGCTGTTTCCACCCAAAGTGGGGTCTATGTCGCTCGCCTCTTTGTTTTTTTTTTTGGGGGGGGGGGTGGGACCTGGCAGGAAGCTCAAGCGAAGGATATGGTGAAAGACCATGACCAGTCGCTTGACCAGCCGCATTTCCAACAGTCCAGCCATGGTGGATCCTCCGGGATTCCCCATATGTTGCAAGTGGGAGGGCCAGATTAGCCACAATTTGTGCGTGTGTGTGTGTGTGTGGCTTGCTTGCAACATGTTTTAACATGATGCAGCATTGTGCAATAATTAGCTTGGTCCGAAGCTAAGGAAAGTGCGAGTGGGATCAATGCCTGAGCACTGCATCCACCTTTACCAAGATGCTCGGAGGCGCCATCGTCCAATCGCCTAGCCTTGTCCGGCTTGTAATCCGGGTGCCAAGTTGCAGTGTCCCGTGCCAAGGAAACCAAAGAGCGCAGTTTCACTTGTCCAGGCCCCCTTTCTTTGTTTGTTTGACGCCCAGGCGGACCATTTTCATGCACGGCCGAAACCGTTTCGGGACCCGAGGCGCACCGAAAGCCTGGAGGTCAGAAAGCAACAGCACGAGGAGCAGCAGGCACGCACGGCCCGACGTGTCGGGAAGCAACGAGTAAGCCAACCATACTTAACCACAGAACCATGGGAAGTAACATAAGTTTTAGAGAGGTTCCTTTTCCTTAACCAGAGGATCATGGGAAGCAACGTAAATTTTAGAGGGGTTCCTTCCTCCCTTTCTTGCAATATTTTTAGGGAACTGCAGTGGCAAGCAGCGTGATTGGCACATGGGCCAGGGTGAGGAGGAGTGCGTATCGGATAGGTGGATAGGTCCTTACAAAAGGGGTAAGGGCAAGAAAGGAAAAGTTCTGGAAAGGGTCTTGTGTGGGGTGAGGGTAAGTGTGGTATTTCCACTCCTTTCTTCACTCCCCGTGGGGTTCTTTATATTTTTGGGGCTGAACCTTCCGCAGGCGGAAGAGCTTCGATCTCAATCCGTTCATGCCGCCGCCCGAAGCGCCTGGCCCAATGTTTGCTCACGGCGAGCTCACTCATGAAGCAAGTTGCCCCTGATCTGTTTTGATGCACCAATTCAATTCTGTGAAGCCCTTGGCATACCGCTGTTCTGTACACAAACGCCGGTCAGTTGGGTCACATAGAATGTCCATGGCTCCCACTGAAGTGACTTGCTTCAATCCACATGCCTTGTTCTGCAGCTTTCGGGCTAATGCAACATCCATAAGGAAATCAGTAGCGATTGATTTTTGGAACTTAATGCCATGTGCCATTGCAGGCGCTTTTACGCGTCCCACCCCCAAGAACAATGATTTGTTTCAGCGGCTTTGCCTATGGCAGAGTTATTGCAGAGTTATGCCCCTGCAAAGAAGCGTTTTCTTTTTTTTCCGGACCCCACCGTGTTCTCAACGGTGTTGCTGCATCAAGTCGGCTTATACAAATGCAGCACTGCTATTGCGCATTACGGATCTCAAACGAGCAAATGTGTCTTCAGGAAATATGTCTTAAAACCAGAGCGGCAAAAACTAGATTCTCGCTTACCAAAATTGCCCTCTGGTTCCTTGACTCCCCAAGCTCCCTTTTTGGACATGTTCGCTGAACATATCCTAGCCACACGAACTTGAGGGTGCACGGCCCTTGGAAGCCACAAGAATGCGCCTGGTCAGTAGCTTGCTGCATGTAAATTGAGTTGGGAACAAACATTGGAGTGAGGTACGCGCCGGACAATACGCACCAATGAGCCCCTTTCAGGTTCCATGGAGTGCAGAGGAGACGCAAGGGTACTTAAATTACAATAGGCCATGACGGTCGCCCATAGCCGCTTGCAGCACAATAATACAGATGCCCCTTTGAAGGGGTTGTGTTATGCTTGGTGTGTGCTTGCTTCTGCACTTTTCATGGGCGTGCAGAAGGAGAATAGCATCACCAACACATCGAAGTCAGGGAAACTCCTGGCCGCGTTGGGCAGTAGACTGAGGCAAAGCATGGACGGCCAAGCTGCAAGAGGAGGCTACTCAGCGCATTGCGCGGCCAAAGCGGAAGCGCTTGGCGTCGGGGGCCCAGGTACGAGGCTCTGGGCCAGGGTGATCTTCTGAACAGTAGGCCGTAGGCTGGGGATGTACATCGCTTGTGGCGAGTGGTCATGTAGTTGGTTTGCCCCTTCCCAAGCGGAGAGTCTCAACTTTTCCCTGAGCATCGAAGAACTTGAGAAGAACATGGAAACATCCAGGGCCAAGAAGAAAAACGCCCCCTGCAGAGGCCTCTATCTTCCAATAGGCAACCACCTAGTCTTGGGACGAAGGCGGTTTTTCGTCGTTGAGCCGAGGCCTGCGCCCTCGACGCAACCGGAGCCATGCACAGAGGCGCGGTAGAGAGGGGTTGGCGGCCAGCAACAAACACCAAATCAGCAACAAACGCCTTCCAGCAGAGTTGGGGTTTTAGTTTTGGTTTCAGCGTCGTTTAAAGGTTAAGATTGACACCTGTAGGGGGTCCTGTTTGCTATCGGGCAAAGGGTCAAAGGGGTTGAGGCTCCTTTGGGGGTGAACACTTGGATCAAACAGCTGCGATTTGCCACTGGGTGACGTGCCAAGAGAAATATCAGAGACTTTGAGCTTGGGGAGTGGCGCTGCTGCACCTCTTGCATCTTCCGGGGACACAGGTTCAAGAGCAATGTACGGGGATGGTTGCCGCAAGGGGTTTGTCTCCATGTTTTGTTGGTTTTCACCTTTCAAACTCCCGATGGCCGACAAAACGACAGCAATGTCTCATGTTGAGCCACGGCTTGTTTGATCTAGCTGATCCGGCATTGCGTTATGTTTCCAGAAATAAAATCACTTTCAATCATGGGGGGGCCATCAGCAGGTTTGTGCTAGCCCCCGCCAAGCTCTCAGGCCAGGGGTGACGCCAGAAGCGTCACGCCACCGAAGGCGCCCGGCCGCGACCCATTCTCATAGGTTTCCTTGGTCAGTGAGATCGGAGAGGTGAATCGTCAGCCTATGGAGCTGCTACCTGTCAGTTGAGATGACATAGAAGCACGGCCCATGAGTTTCTACTTGCAGTCTTGACGGCGCTTACTGGCAAGCGAGCACACCGTCCTGGACGACCACTTTTTCCGAAAACGTCTCAGCAAATTCGGGGGGCCTTAGCTCTGTCAAGTTTCTTCTCGCTGCGGAACGCAGGTCTCCGGCCACAACGCCACGCCCAGCACTCCCCGCACGCCCCGCAGGCCCGTGGCCATTCCAGCCAAAACACAAAGAAATAACATTTCCTGCAGCACCCCTTCCAAGAGCACTGTCAGTGCGCCACAAGGGGCCCATGCACTTCTCAGTACGTGCAGGTGATGAGCTGCAGCCTCTATCTTCGCGCCCGCCACGAAAGCAGCATTTGCTCGAGCTGAACGCGCTGGGGGTGGCTGGCAAAAATGTCATGCAGTTTCTTTGGCAGATGTTTGTTTAGCGAGGTGTGTTTTTCGGAAAATGCTTTACAATGGCCAAGCACCATTGTTTCTACAGATCAATGCAGTGTGGATGCAAAGATGCCAGGGGTACCGGACAATGGCGTCACATTGCCACAGAGCAGTGACATATTCAGATAACGTTTGCAGAGTATAAGCATGCAGCATGTGTCAGGCACTTTAGTTTCGGCATTGGCAAGCAAACACGTCGGCATTCAAAATTCGATTGCGGTCAAAACTCCGAGTCCCTCAAGAAACCGACCGCTGGGGCCATGGCGTTGAGCGTCATCAGAAGCGCCTTGGCGCTGCGCCCGGAGTCGCAGACTGCGCTAGCGCCGCGCCCGGAGACGGTGGCGCTGTCAGGGCCTGGGGAGCAGTCCGCGGAAACCGCGCAGCGCCCTGGCTGCAGTTGAAGCGGGCAGGGGCGTCAAGGCATTGGGCAAGGAGCCTTTTTGAATCGCGTTTGAAGCTAAATGCAACCACTGCCGTCCCCTCTATCTTAAGCAACGCGCCTGCATGAGTAGCTCTAAAACCGTTGGAATGCCACAAGCCACAACAGCTTCACACATGAGTTCAGCACGCAACCCAGGTACCAGCACCTGCTTGCAGTCGCCACCTCTCAGGTGCAGAGGGGGAGAGGGGCTCAATATCCACCTTGGCTCCCTGGCTTTCATTGAAGCGAGGTGACTTGCATATGGACAATGCTTGTGAGGACCCATCGTAGCTTGTGAAAGGCATATCCACTTTGCTCAAGTCAGTCATTCTTGTGGCACCATCCAGGGGGCTTGTGTCAGCAGGGTGGGGAGTTTCTGCCTCCACAGTGGTTGGCTGGGAGCAACTCGTCACAAAGGGTGCACATGACGATTCTTCCCCAGAATTAGTTCCCCTTTTTATTTTTGTTGCTCTTTTGGGGGTCCCCTTTGTGTTCCACGAACCAGGCAAAAAAAAGAGGATAATTTTTGGCTGGGGTCCTAATTCCAGCCCAGGATTGTATCGCATCCTGTGGGCCCCAGCCAGGAGCATCGATTGAGACAGCACGGCGCTTTGCGGGAGAGGCCTGGTTACGATCTCAGCGACCCCTGGCTGGTGTCAAGCTCCGATGCAGATGGAGCAGGCCCGGCGCCAAATCTGCCTGGTGGCGTGCAGGGTGTGGCAAACAGCGTTGGTTCTTAAGCAAGCCAGTCAAACACAGGTTCATCATCACAGACAACGGTGTAGGGAAAAACAGGTCAACAGGAAGCTTCATGCATGCAGCTGTGGAGGTGCCAATGCTTCTCGCTCCCTGCAGGCAAGGCGAGGGAGTTTGCCCGCCTCAACGTGCCAGGGATGCCTTGCCAAGTGGTGGGGGAAGGCACCGTGGTAGCCTACCTGTCTGGAGCGCTGCAGGAGTGAAGAATGTGATGCCCACTTTGGGATACGCAGCACGTGGAATGTTGCAATGACCTTGGGTGCGGTCCCAAAACACGGTAAAATTCTGAGGGAGCAAGTGTGCAGCATAGAGTTGACATGAACAGCAGACGGTTCCAAGAAGCCATGAACTGATGGGCAATCAGAAGTGACAAGGAACAAAGAAGACAAACATGAAGGGTCGAGATGAAATCCTCGAAAGACAGCATGTGTTCCTTGGTAACTAATGCGCTCCTTCATCACATGGGCGGAGGTGTAGGCTTGGAATCCTTATCAAAGCCTTTGCACCTGGACGATAATTTCGGGATGCGGAAAGTAAGGGGGTCGACGGTCAAAGGCAAACCCAGTCGCTCCAGGGATCCTTACATTATACACCTCAACAGTGCCTTGTAATTGTGGTTTCCCTGTATTTTGGTGGAAAAAGCAGCATGTTTCAAATGGTTGCAAAATGTATCTTTTGAGGAGCCCTGTCCAGCCTCGCAATTGACCTGCAAGGAGTGCCAAGTCCGGCTGCCCAGCGGCCAAGTCGCCACGTATCTCCGCAGCCGGCTGCTTCCATTGCCCACGCGACCGGCGCACCAGGGCGACTGGGCAGTGGCAGTGGACGCTCAGCGAATTGAACTCCAGATTGATATGATTGATCCAGGCCTTGGGGTGATCTGCGCGGTTGCTGCGCTTTGGTTCACGGAATGTGTGTTTTGTTTGCTACCTGGGTCAAGGCCGGACATGTCACTCCAGTTTGCTTGGCTAGTCTCCGGTTGGCTGCAAGCTTGCCATGGAGCACCGAAGCGCCGGCTTTGAATCAGATTTGACCGCCTTGTCCACAAACCCTATCACCCCCTGCAAGGCCGAAAATACACCTGTATTCGGCATCCTGGCCTGTAAGAGCTACGTATTCCAACACAAGGGTCTCAAAAATGCCAGAGGCGGGCAGGATCTCACCCATTTGCTTCCTAACGTCACGCGCAGCTTCCGCACACTTTGCGCTGTGCTGGCTGACACTGATTCTTTGCTGTCAAGGCTTCACAAGGTGCAACAAGGGCTTCTGTGCATTTGCCGCAGTCAGGACCTCAAGGGTGACCTTGCGCGCCTGAACGGCTTTCGCTGCATTTGTGGAATCGGCGCGGAGTACAAGCAGGACTTGCTGAAGGGGCGCATTGGCAGTGACACCCAACAACCTCCATGAACGCACATGCCTCGGAGCACGCTGTGTGAATGTGCTTGGGCATTGTGCGGGTTCCAGTGCCGGCCATTGACGCCCCTTGCCGAACTCAGACTCAAACAAGATCCTGTTTTGCTTCTAGTTGTCATAGAACATCTCAACACGGTGCTGCCTTGCCAGACCATTAAATAAATACACCGTCAGCAATCAGCAAGTATGAAAGGCAGCAATGAAGCATGCCAACGTGCCAATCCTTCGTTTGGTTTTTGAAGGCGGTTGAGATCATTTGAGTCTATGTCAATGACTTCTTTCTCTTCTTTTTTTGGGGGGGGAGGGAGAGGGCGCAGTTGGGCGATCCTGCTCAAAAGTTCCATGGGCTGTGCACTTGCCGTGCTAACGAGACGTTCCGGCAGACAAACGACGAACAACTGTAGCTGGGCGGTCCATTGGGTATGAGCCAGGAGTGTCGCACCTTAGGAGCCTGGCTTTTGGGTGATGTTCGAGCCGACGCCTGGCACACCACCACCGTTGGAGCTGCTGCCACTGACAAATTTGGTGGCGCTGGCGGCGCCGCCTGTTGGCAGCCCACAGACGCCTTGGGAGGCCTTGGGGTGCGATGGCTCTCAAAGGTTTAAATGCGGCAAGGTCTCCAGCACCAAACTCCAGAGCCCCTGCCGTAAACGACCCGACTGATTCAATTTAGGCAACCTATATCCTGTGTGGGTCGCATGTGGCTGCGCCTTTGCAGCACCAGCCCGGGCGTGGTCTTCGGTGAATTGAGTTTGGATTGCAGGATGTGCTGCACTAGATCAAGGGTGCCCTTGCGAAGCACTGGTAGGTTGCTGCTGGTGCTCAAAGTTGCCATTTAGGACGAATCCGCTCAGGAAGTGGGCTCAAATGTTGGTCTGTAGTTCAAGCGGTGGTCCGATCCCCGCAAAAAACACCCTCAACCAGGGGTTCTAAAAAGCCTATCTCCAGGAAACCCCAGGGTTTTGGAGATGGTTTCTTATACAAGGCTTGTTTTTCCTGGGTTCCCATTGGTCGCCTCAAAGCTGCCTGCCGGCTGCCAGCTGCCAGCTGTCAGGCGCGGTTGGCGGCCCTGGCGCCCGAGGCCTATGCCAAGCTGGCAGCAGATCAGCTGGCAGACGAGCCGCGGGGCTTTCCCCAGTCATGTGTTGGCTCTTTTTTGTCAAAAGTAGGGGTCGCTTATGGTTTATTGGGGGAACGCCTGCAAAATCTTTTTGACAACCCCCCCATATTAAATATTGTGGCGGGGGGGGGGGGGCGGGTGGGGGGGGGGAGGAACATTGTTTGTATTCGAATGGCGGGCCCTTTTCTCTGGGGGTTGAAAAGAAGCCAAAGGAAACCAGCAATTTCAGAGAACCCTCACCTTGATTAAGAAAGACCGACAAATCGAATCAACGAAAACCGACATGCTGGGCTTTTCAACTTTGGTGTCGAGTCTTGCTCCTGAAAGGGTTGCCTTCCGTTCTAGATCTTTATTTGACAAGTCAGCAGTTGGTATACATGCTGCTTCCAAACATGTATGCTGTAACCTTCGTTCTGCCGCGTGCTGTAAATGTATGCCAGCAAATTCTGGCGCTAAAGCGAGCCACGGACGGATACTTATAATAGGTGCCCGGGAAAGAGACCATCAATTGGATTCTGCACAAGTCAATTCCCAGCTCCGAACACAACCAGAACAGCAACAGCACAGGAGCGGAGATTTGAGGTGGCTTAGTTCCCAGTTTTTCTCGCTGAGGCAGATGGCCGAGGCACGGCAACAGCACCTACTCGCCCTTCGTGACGAGGCCCATTTTTGGGTGGTCCCTTCGGACTTTCAATGGGCCCGGCCCTGGAGGGCTGCTCGAATCAACCATGCAAGTCATTTGCGTAGCTTGAGGAGGTTCCAGCTGTGTGAAAGTTGTCTTGCGCCTGCGTGCGTGTTGTTTGTGTTGACCTCAAACTGCACCACGGAAGGTCTGGCTTGAATTGCGCATGCGTGGGGGACAGGCTAACATGGGGCAACTGCAAGTCTGTAAGGTCCCGGTCTTGAGCTGAACTCTGGCCACTTCAAATGTGCCCTACTTTAGCATGATGCCCGCGGCAAGTTTGCAGACATGAGCTGGGTTCCATGTCCGTGTCCAGAGATCTGCTGAAAAAGCCCGGCCTAGCCACTAGGAGGATGACAATGGCAGCGTCA